ACACACACACACACACACACACACACACACATCCTCATCCTGTGAAGCTGCATTCTTTCAGCAGTTATAACTTTGATAACATTCTTATAAGTTGATGTCTGGAGTTGTTTAAAAGAGTAGATTTTCATAAAATATGTCATCTTTTTCAGTGCTGCTTTAATGATGATTTGTGGTATAATTTGGTCTGCTTCTGTCAGAGTCACCTGCCCTGGTTAATGAAACGTTGACAATGTAACACAAGACTCTTGCCACTTGCAGGTCACTAGTGGAACTACAATAACATATACTTTTATAGTATTTATTAATATTATAAATGAGCTTTTATTATGATATTTTCATTTTTTTATTTTTAGTTTAAGTTTTAGTAATTTTATGTGCTTTTTCATTTTTTTCCTACTCATTTTTATTGCAGTTTTAATTTTAAAACATTTAGTACGTGATCTTATTTTTATCAGTTAGTTTCAGTTTTATTTGTGTCATTGAGACTATAGTTTTGATATTTTGAATTCATTTTTATTTATATATATTATTTTTAATTAAATTCATTAAATTTGTAGTATTTTTTGTGTAGTTATATTATATATATAGATAGTTAAAATAGAGATAAAATTATAGATAGTTTTATTTCATTTCAGTTAAAGTTTATTTGCCAAGGCAACATTTCTAATTTTTAAGTTTTTTATTTATTTACACTTTTTCATCTAATATTTATATTTAATTTTAATGTTTAATAGTTTAATTTCAGTTATAGTTCTAGTTTAGAATCTAATTTTCTTTAAGATTAAGTGATTAAGTTCTGTTTGCACAACTGGGAAGAAGCTAATCATATGAAATCCATCACAGTTTTAGAATTTGCATTACGTTATGTTTATAGATATATATATATATATATATATATAATCTTAACAGACATATAGGGAAAGTGAATTGTTATGTAATTGAAAGCTGTCATTTCTAAGTGGTTGCTAGGGTGTTCTGGATTGTTGCTAGGTGATCTCTATGATGTTTTAGATCTTGCTAAACTTGTTTACTCACATGTGTGAAATAACAATAGTCCCCAATGATCAGCTGCATTAATTTAACATATATTAATACTAAAGACACCTGTGCAAAGTGGGTCATGAAACCGATGCTCGTCCTTCACTTTTGAGCCGGAACAAAACAGAATCAATACAGATGACTCAAAATACTGTCTTTTATTTCTTTGGCATAGTATTGATTCCTGCCCTTTTGGCGTCATTTCTACACCTCCTTTAAGCCTAAGTGTTTTTCTGTTGCCCGAGGAGAGGGTGTTGGGTTTGAATGACTCACAGTTTTGTTTTCTGAAGCTCTTTGAAAAGGTTTGGGTGACAGTGTCCATACTTGCTCCTGTGATCCCGTCTCTGACCTGGAGGGGAGTTTTCTGCTCACGCTCGGAGATGTGCGGAAATGCCCTGTAATATATAATGAGAGGTTTTCATAAGTCAGAATGCTGTTAAAGTGATACTGTGTCTCAGAATAATGTTGGAGGAACACAGGCAGATGCAGAAGGTCCTGCATTTGTTAACAGTATTAATGTGTTTTCTGTATAAGGGTGGAGAGGTGAGTGTTTGCATAGGGAGGAGATGAGCTGTGGACCTCCAGGAGGAATCTTTGGCAACATTAGTTAGAGAGAAGATGGTTTTAATCAGGTGTGTTTGTGGATGCTTATAGTTAGTCAGCACATATTCAGCATATGATTTCACACCTGATCGTGTAAACAACAAACAATCAGACACAATATAGTGAAAATATAAAGGTGTGTTTCTGTTTCAATTGAATCTAATACCTTGATGATAACATGTACCTCAAATAAATCATGAAATAAATGGATTTGTCAGGTTGATTTATCGGCCAATATTTGGTCAGTAGTAATGGATTTTGAGTAAATAAAGAGTAAAATTAGCCTTGATTTAATTTCAGCATTTTTATGCATCTCAGAGTATAATGTATAAATACCTATAAATAAAATATATAACAAATATATATAATATTACAAATTAAATATAATTTATAAATTAGAATTCAGATGTGTAATTTATGTCTAACTTAATGAATAAATATTTATAAATATGATAAATATAAGAATATTTTATCAAATTATTCAGCCATGTATTTATTCAATCAATCAATTTTATTATTTGCATCGGCCAATAGTAATGCACATTTTGGGCTTTCGAGTAATTATAGAATATAATTTATAAATATGTATAAATTATAATTAATTATTGAAATGATCATTTAATTTATAACTTTTATCAAAATATCTATAAATTTAATGCACAAAAAATATAAATTCAAATATATATATATAAATAAATCAAATGTATTGTAATTTAATGTATCACTTAATTTATAAATACCTATAAATACAATAATGTTTATGTATAGAAATTATAAATATATAATATCAGCATAAGCATTCCTTACAGTAAGAATTTTAAGATCATCTTTAAACCCTGGCCTAACCCAGGGTTAAAAGAACGAGCAGAGTGAAACATATACAAGATAACGGATTATTAACGCAGGATTAAAACCAGACAGTGTTAAAATTTTTAAGTTCTTTTTCATGTTAGCATTTTTATCAAATACTGAGAAGAAGAGAAGAAATGAGCTTTCGTTGCTCCATCCTTTCCTTCATTTGATCATTTTCTTGATGGATAGACAGGATTCCTGTATCTTGTGCCTATTAAACTTTAGCTCCAGTTTTAAGAAATGTACCCGAGTGCACATTAAGTGCCTGAACAGAAGCAGGAACATACGAAGTCTGGACACATGTAAACACCAGAACTACCAGATCCAACTGCTTTAGTGGGAAACTGGTGCTTGACATACTGGTAGAAGAATCCAGTAAAGAGCAGAGCGACAGACAGCAGACGTGTTACATAAGCACACACTCCTCCCTCAGATCCACTCAACATCTGGAACTCAAACCAGAGCCGACCCGAGGAAATGAGACTTCAGAAACTGAAGAGAGAGAGAGACACATGAACAGGCACACTGTCAATCTCTCTTTGCTGACACACTAATAACAGGAAGTAACTAAAGGCTAAATGTGAGGGAAATGGATTTAATAGATGCAGTGTGTGTGTGTGTGTGTGTGTGTGTGTGTGTGTGTGTCAGTGTGTGTGTGTGTTATTGTGC